ATGTCTGTAAATATTCTACGGAAACAACATTTCAAATAAAAGTGGCACACATTGTTAGTTCCGAAATTGGGAGACAGGTCATTTCGATACAAACTAAAGTGGATTCAAAAGATATAAATGCCGTTTCGATACAACCTCAGGTATTTTGAGTCAAACTATGGATGGATACATTTCAACGTTTTTATCTGTCTACCAGTTGGATAAAAGAATTTTAAGGTACCTTGCTGTGAGAACAGATTGTGTCTACGAAGAAGCTAACATATCAGCGCCTATGACTCAAGAATGGCACAAGAATGGTTTACAAGTAAGTTTAGTGTTAGTGCCCGATTATTATTATACTGGCAGTATAAACGTCTGGATGCCCAGAGTAAAGATTAAAAGCTTAGGCTGGGCGGTAAACCGTAGCCAGCCACAGCATCGACTTAAACTTATGACAACAATTACACAATAATTTACGCCAAAAAAAGAAAAGCAAGCAAACCAAGAAAAAAAAAGAAAACCTGATTAAAAATGATTTGATAAGAGTGTCATAAAAATATATAAACAACTAAATTAAATCCTAAAGGCTTTATGGACGTCTTGATTGCAAAATAAAACTGTTCACAAGTTGAAAAACATCGTTCATATAGCTATCCAATTTCCTATGGGAACCCTAAGATAGGTAAAATAATAATTATTAAATTATCATTATTATTATTATTATTATTATTATTATTATGATGTTTAAGTCAACAGGTATCAAAATTACAAGCGAAGGCCATAAACATCTCGGCGCAGTGATTGGCTCACAGGAATACCGACAAGAGTACGTCGATGAAAAGGTATCAGAATGGGTCAGCGAAATAGCCCAACTCGCGGAATTTGCTGCAACGGAACCACAAGCTTGTTACTCGGCTTATACGTTCGGCCTTAAACACAGATGGACTTATTTTGTTCGGACTATTCCCGCCGCCCAGGATCTCATAGAACCTTTGGAAAGTGCTATAAGCCATGTCCTCATACCTGCAATAACTGGGCGCAAGTGTAATCAACTGGAGAGAGACGTGTTGTCCTTAACCGCTCGCTTTGGTGGCCTTGGCCTTGGAAATCCGCTGATATAAGCACCGCGGGAGTACAAGACATCCGTTGGAACAACTGCACCGCTCGTCAAACAAATTGAAGGCCAACAACATCACTTGCTGGAAGACTCGACAGTAAAGTCATCAAAACAGACTTCCCAGCATAAGAGGGACGAAGACGTCAAAGAGAGAGTGAAGAGTGTTTATGAGAGGGCACCACTTAAGACCAAGCGAGCACTAGATCTGGCTACCGAAAAGGGTTCATCGGTATGGTTAACCGTCCTTCCCTTACAAGAGCAAGGACATAATCTCAACAAAAGAGAATTCCGAGACGCCATTTAATTGTGATACGACTGGCAATTCGAAGATATTCCTTCCAAATGTGCTTGTGGGGACGTGTTCATAGTGGACCAAGCAATGGTCTGAAAAAAGGTGGCTTTATTATACAGCGCCACAACGAACTTAGAGACTTAGAAGCTGAGCTTTTAGGAATTGTCTGCAAAGATGTGGAAATCGAGCCGCAACTCCAAGACAAGACAGGAGAGCAAGTAAACAGTGGTTCCAACATGGCGCAAGATGCAAGGCTAGACATTCATGCTCGTGGTTTCTGGGAACACAATCGATCTGCATTTTTCGATGTTCGAGTTTGTCACCCAAACGCTGAATCGTACAGAAATTTGAAACCGCAGCAGATTTACCGCATGCATGAGAATGAGAAGCAACGTTCCTACTCCAGACGTGTTCTGGACATCGACCATGGTTCATTAACACCTCTTGTGTTTACTTCCACTGGTGGAATGGGCCAAGGATGCTTGAGATATCACAGTCGCCTTGCATAACTCATTGCAGACAAGAAAGGAGAGCACTATTCAAAGACAATTTTCTGGATCAGGGTAATAACTTCGTTTGCATTATTAAGATCCGCCCTCATCTGCCTAAGAGGATCCAGAACATTTAGAAGGCCCAAATTGGATTTTACTAATGTAGACCCAGATATTCAAAGTTCAGAGGCTGCCATTTGTTAGTTAATTTCTTTATTTTTTTTTAGTTCATTTGTTAGTCGACATTTTCATGTATTTTTCGATTTTTAATGATTTTATCTTAATTTGTTTGTAAATAGTTTTGATGATTACAGTGAATTATCGTTATCATAGTGTGTATCCTCTAGTTTTTCTTACATTTTTATTAGACATTTCTAGACATTTTTTTTCGATTGTCAAGAATTTTATCATAATTTTTGTTATAATTTTTGTAATTATGGTGAACAAAGGATTATTTTTATTAGAAAAAATTACTATTACTATTACTATTACTATTACTATTACTATTACTATTACTATTACTATTACTATTACTATTACTATTACTATTACTATTACTATTACTATTACTATTACTATTACTATTATGTCGAACTACTACTACTATAAAATCTACTATTGCTTAAAT